TTACAGCAATGGATAGGTCAACCAGACAGAAAATCACTAAAGAAATAATGGACTTGAAAGATACATCGGACCAGATGGATCTGACGGATATATTTAGAAATTTACATCCTGAGGCCAGGGAATTTACTTTCTTCTCAAGTGCGCATAGCACATTCTCCAAGATAGATCACATACTGGGACATAAAACAGCCCTCAGTAAATATAAAAGAATTGAGATCATACCATGAACACTGTCAGATCATAATGCTTTGAAACTTGAAATCAATCACAGGAAGAAGTCTGGAAAACCTCCAAAAACATGGAGGTTAAAGAACACCCCACTAAAGAATGAATGGGCCAATCAGGCAATGAGAGATGAAATTAAAAAATATATGGAAGCAGACACACAAATCAATGGTACAGAACACAAAGCCCAATAAACAATGGCTATATGGTCAATTAATTTATAGCAAAGAAGACAAGAACATATAATGGAGAAACAAAAGTCTCTTCATTAAAAGGTGTTGGGAAAAATGGACAGCTGCAAAAAGAATGAAACTGGACCACTGTCTTACACCCTACACAAAGATTATCTCAAAATGTATTAAGAACATTAGCGTAAGACCCAAACCATAAACCTCATAAAGAAAACGTAGATGGTAAGCTTCTTGACGTTCATCTTAACAATGATTTGGGATTAGATGCCAATGAAAGACAAAAGTAAAAATCAGCAAATGAGACTGCATCAAATTAAGAAGCAAAGAAAGTCATCAACAAAACAAAAAGGCAACCTGGAGAAGGTATATGTAAGATAAGGAATTAATATCCAAATTACATAAATAACTCACATGCCTCAATAACAAAAAGGCAAGAATCAATCTGAATAAAAAATGGGCAGAAGATCTAAGTAGACATTTTCCCAACAAAGACTTATACATGGCCAACAGGCACATGAAAAGGTGCTCAATCTCACTAATTATTAGGGAAATGCAAATTGAAATGACAATGAGATATCACCTTATGCCTGTCAAAATGGCTATTATCAAAACACAGGAAAAAACAAATGCTGGTGAGGATGTGGAGAAAAGAGAAAGAACCCTCATGTACTGTTGATGAGAACATAAGTCACTATGGAAATTTCTATGGAAGTTCCTCAAAAATTTTTAAAAAGTGGTACCATATGATCCAGCAATTCCACTACTGGGTATCAAACTGAAGAAAACAAAAACACAAATTGAAAAAGATATATGCAACCCCATATTCACTGCAGCATTATTTACAATAGCCAAGATATGGAAAAAAAACTAAGCATGAATGCATGGATAAAATGAATGGATGGGTTAAAAAGAATGCATGGGTTAAATAAATACATCAGTGCAATGACAGGAATGCACCTTGACAATACCATGCTAAGTGAAATAATTCACAAAGAGGAAGACAAGTATCTCATGATTTCACGTGCATGTAGAAACTAAAAATCAAAACAAACAAAACAAAACAAAATGTGGATTCATAGACACAGAGAACAGATTGGTGATAGCCAGAGGAGAGGGAAGTTGAGGGCAAGAAATAGGTGAAGAGGATTGAGAAGTATAAAGTTCCAGTTATAAAATACGTACTTACATGGGGATGCAAGGTACAGCATGGGGAATAAGGCCAATATTTTATTAATAGTTGTAGGGTAACAAATGGCAACCAGACTTAGTGTGGTAGCTGTTTCATAATGTATATAAATGTCAAATAATGATGTTGTACATCTGGAACTAATATAATACTGCATGTCAATTACAACTCAATAAATTAAAAAATTAATTAAAGTTTATATTTCAATGCATTAGAATATATGAGATTAATTTGCATTAAAATATTAACTTTAATCTGCATATTGATTTTGCAAATATTGGTAACTTTTCATTAGGCAATTTCCTAGCTTCCTGTTATTTGACCCCTTTATCCTTGGATAAATTGTGAAAAGACCAATTATTAAACTTCAAGGTTTCATTTCATTGTCTCATGATTACATGGAGTCTATTTGGGTTAAAAAAAAAATATATATATATATATAGAGAGAGAGAGAGAGAGAAGTCTTTGAGTCACAATTGGATTACTAGAATGGTAACTATATGTATCATTTAAATTTCCTCTATTAATAAAAGATAAGTATGCAATTTAAGTTTCTTCCCAGCTCCTTAGTCATTCAGTAAGAATAAACATACACCTTAACTCTATTTTGGTAATGGATAGATAATGGCCTAATTACTCAGTAATCATTTGAAAACAGGAGCAGAATAGAAGAAGAAACCTACACACTTCCAAAGAATTAGGGATAAAGTAAATGCATTCTTAAATATAATAGTGAGTGATGGTGTCAGTTGAGTGTTTATGATGAGTATGGGTGGCTCAAAAATAAAGGAGAGAAATGAAGAAAGAAATGTCACATCAGGGACAATTTCTATCACTTATCTGCCAGCACCCCTCGCCAATGCATACACAGTCTCATATACACACATACACACTCATATACATATACCTTGTATGAGTATTAACAGTCACGACACAGTTGCCCAAGGGCCCTTTTGGACGTTTTCCTCCTTTTTTTTTTTTTAACAATTTTAATTTTTTTTGGTATGTTTTATTTATTTCTGAGAGAGAAAGAGAGAGAGAGAGAGCAGGGGAGGGTCAGAGAGAGGGGGAGACACAGAATCTGTAGCAGGCTCCAGGCTCTGAGCTAGCTGTCAGCACAGAGCCCGACGCAGGGCTTGAACCCACAAACTATGAGATCATGACCTGAGCCGAAGTTCAACGCTTAACCGACTGAGCCACCCAGGTGCCCTATGTATAATTACATATAATATAATGCATGGATCTTAAGTTTACAACTTGATGAGTTTTGACAAATGTATACATCTATGGAACCACCAACCCAATTAAGATACAGAACATTTCTCACTTCAGAAAGTCCTTTATTCCTTTTTCCAGTCAATCAGTCCCTCCTGTGATGGTTAATTTTAAATGTCAACTTGACTGGGATAAAGTGTCCAGATATTTGGTCAAACATTATTCTGGATATTTCTGTAAGGGTGTTTTGGGGTGAAATTTACATTTAAATTAGTGGACTTTGAGTAAAGCAGATTGTCCTCCATAATGTGACTGGGCCTCATTCAATTAGCTGAAGTTGAAGTTGAATCAGTTTGTTCTATCACTGAATAGAACTAAGGACTGACCTCCCTCAAGCACGAGAGTTTTCTCCAGCAGACTGCCTTTGGAGCAAAATCAGAACTTCAGACTTCATCTGCAAATCACCTCTTCCTGGTTCTCCAGAAGACTGCATTCAGACTCCAACTGCAGCTCCTTCTGGAGACTCTGGCTTGCTGGCCTCCTCCATTAGAGTTTACATGAGCCAATTCCAATAAACAAACAATGAAATAAATGTAAACATAAAATATATATTCATCCTATTGGATTTTTTAAATTATTATTATTGTTTACAAATAGTTTATTGTCAAGTTGGTTTCCATATAATACCCAGTGCTCATCCCCACAAGTGCCCTCCTCCATGCCCATCTCCCCCCTCCCCCCACATCCATCAGTCTTCAGTTTGTTCTCAGTATTCAAGAGTCTTTCATAGTTTGCCTCTCTCCCTTTCCCCCACTATTTCCTCCCTTCTTCTTCCCCTTGGTCCTCCGTTAAGTTCCTCCTAATCCTCCTATACGAGCAAACATATGATATTTGTCCTTCTCTGCCTGACTTATTTTGCTCAGCATAACTCCCTCAAGGTCCATCCATGTTGCTACACATGGCCAGATTTCATTTTTGTGGTATTTCCATCCTATTGTTTCTGTTCCTATGGAGAATCCAGTACATCCCTTTCATGCAATAACCAATTTCTCTTATAACCAAACAACATTCTTACTTATAATTTTCCTCTGTATTAATAGCTTCTCTCCTGACATTTACCCAAACACAATCTTCTCATAGCAATACTAAAGAATGGAAGTTAGCATACTATTTAAATAAATTATTTTTTGCTTTTTTAAAAGTTAGGTTCATTATAGTATAATTTCCCTATAGGAAAATTCACTCTTTTCAGATGGATCTTGATAAATACATGCATATAGATGTATAACCACTATAACAATCAAGATACAGAGTATTTCCATCATGCCCCAAAGTTTCTAATGCTCCTTAATAGTCAATTCTCTCTTCCTATCCCCAGGTGCCAACAACCACTAATCTAATTCCTATCCCTATAGTCTTCTTTTTCCAGAATGTCATACAAACGAAATTATACCATATAATAGCCTTTTGTGTATTTTTTTTCACTTAGCATAATTCAACCATGTTGACCTGTGTGAGTAATTTCTTTTTATTGCTGAATTCCACTGTGTGGATGTACCACAACTTGATGATCCATTCATTGGTTTGTGAGCATTTGGACTATTTCTAGTTTTTAGTGATTATAAAACTGCTGTATGCATTCTCACAAAGGCCTTCATACAAATACATATTTTTATTTCTTGTTTAAATACCTAGGCATAGAATTTCTAGGTCAAATGGCAAATGTGTGGTTAACTTTGTCAGAAACTACCAAACTATTCTGCAAAGTCGCTGTACCATTTTACATTCCCAGCTGCAATACACAAGTGTTCTGGCTGCTCTGCATCCTTGCTGGGACTTTGCAGTGTCAGGTTTCTAAGAGCCATTGTAATAGGTGTGTACTGCTCACTGCTCTATCTTTGTGGTTTTAATTTGCACTTCCTTAATAACTGAAGATGTGGAGCATCTTTTCATGTGTTTCTTTGCTATCTGTAGTAGCTAGCATCTATGATTTCCCCTCCCACCCTTACCATATGATCCGGAGATACTGGTATTCACATCTCTATGTCGTACTCTCCCAAATTTAACAGACCTGTGTAACAAGTAGTATATTCTGGAACTGATACTGTGTAACTTCTAATGCTACATCATAATAGTCTCACTTTGAGGTAAGCCAGCTGCCATGTAATAAGGGAATTCAAAAATACCTATGGAGAGATCCACATAGTGAAGAACTCGGGTATCCTGATAATAGCCAACACCAACTTGCCACCCATGTGACTCAACCATATTGAAGGCAGATCTGCTAGCCCTCAGGTAAGGCTTCAGATGAATGCAGCCCCAGCCAACATCTTGGCTACAACTTCAATGAAAACCACAACTCTAGCTAAGCTGCTTCTGATTTTTTGACCTACAAACACTGTAAGATAAATGTTTATTTTTTAAGCCAGTAAGTTGTTTAGTAAATTGTTAAGCAGTAATAATTAACACACCATCAACATATTTTCTTCGGTACTTCCCAAACCTTTAGTCTATTTTTAAAAATGGGTTGTCTTCCTACTGAGTTAAAAGAGTTCTTCATATACTTTGGTATAAATTGTTTATAAGGTGTTCTTCAAATATTTTCTTCCAGATTTTGTTTTTTTAATTTTCTTAACAGAATCTTTCAAGAGAATAAATTTTATATTTTGATGAGGTATAATTTGTGTGAGTGTGAGACAGAGAGAGACAGAGAGGGAAAGTTTCATGCTTTTAGTGTTATAGCTAAGAAATCTTGGCCTAATGTAAACTCACACGTGTTTTTTTTTTCCATGTTTCCTTTTAGAAGTTTTATAAATTTAGATTTTACTTTTAGATGTGTAATTCATTTTTGATTTTTTTAAATATATGATGTGAATTCATTTCTTGAAAGTCTAATTTTTCCAGCACCATTTCTTAGAAAGACCTTTCTTTATATATATGCTAGGAAGCTTTGTAAAAACAAATCAATTGATTAATACTCTATTGTATATATAAATCAATTTAGAGAGAATTGACATTTTAACAGTTTTGATTCCACTGGTGCATGAACATGATATATCTCCCCATTTATTGAAATGTTCTTTGAATTCTCTTATTAACAATTTATAACTTTCAACATAAAAATTTTACACATATTTTATTAGATTTATTCTTATGCATTTTATATTTTGGTGCAATATTAGTGGCAGTGTTTATTAATTTCAAATTTTAATTTTCCATTGTCAATGTAGACAAATGCAGTTGAGTTTTATATTTTGACCTTTTATCTTGTGACCTTAATAAAGTCACTTATAAGTTTTCGTAGCTTGGGTGCCTGGGTAGCTCTGACTTTGTTCAGGTTACGACCTTGTTGTTTTGTAGGTTCAAGACCTGCCTCAGGCTCTGTGCTGACAGCTCAGGCCATGGAGCCTGCCTTGGATTCTGTGTGCATGTCTCTCTGCCTCTCTCTCAAAATAAATAAACATAAAAAAAATTTTAATATATGTTTTAGTAGCTTTTGTTGTAGATTTTTGGGCATTTTCTATTTAGATAATTATGTCACCTATAAATAAAAATAACATTTCTTCCTTTCTAATCTATGTGGCATTTATTTCTCTTTTTTAGTTAAAATTTTTTTAATGTTTCCTTATTTTGAGATAGAGAGTATGAGTGGGGAAGGGGCAGAGAGAGTGGGAGACACAAAATCCAAAGCAGGATCCAGGCTCTGAGCTATCAGCACAGAGCCTTACCTGGGGCTACAACTGTAAGAACACGACCTGAGCCAAAGTTGGACGCTTAACGGACTGAGCCACCCAGGCACACCTGTATGGCATTTATTTCTTTATCTTACCCTATTGTATCAGCTAGGACTGCCAGTACAATGTTATATAGGAATGATGAGAGCAGACACTTTCGAACTCTTGGGTGAAGATATTCAGTCTTTTAACATTAGGTAAACTACAAGCAGTAGACTTTTATATTTATACCCATTATGAAGGTGAGGAAATCTCTTTCTGTTTCTCATTTGCTGAGAGTTCTTTAATGATGGATGTTAAATTTTTCCAAATGTTTTTACTGCATCTACTAAATGATCAAGTTTTTTTCTTTGTTGATATTGTAATTTACATTTATTGATTTTTTTCAATGCTGAACTAATCCAGCTGCTTTTAAACACCCTACACAGTATAACCTCACATATTCTACCATATTTTGCACAAGGTGCAATCATAAACCCTAATCTGTGGTACCTCACTATCCTTCTTAACTGATGCACATCCTTTGACCCACATTGCTCTTTTTCCTTTACCTATCTGGATACCTGTTTTCCTTCAAGGTCAAGTCTAATTTCACCTCCTCCATGATTCTGTCTCTAGTTATCTAAATTCCTTTCCAGGGGCCAATCATTGGATGTGAGCCCTCTTCCAATTCATTTTTCATTAGCAGAAGCCATGTCCAGAAGAGGAAGAAACTGCTAGGGATGAGGGGATAGAGATTAGAGTCAGTGGAAGAAAGTAGTGATGAGGCAAGGTGGCATAATATTTGAGTATCACAATTGGTATTTTTCTCCTAGTACAATAATACAGGGAATTTCTTGTTCTAGTTCTGGGGAGATTCCAGTAATGTTATGCTCATAGATAATCCTCCTCCCACCCTTACTGCTCTTGGAACAATTCTGGAAGACTGTGCTCCTTTATTTCTGGTGGAAATGCAAAGATAAAAAGAACCTCCTGTTTCTCTGAAAATCCTTTGTAAAAATATGTATAAATGAGTAAGATAAAATGTTAGATTTATTCGCTCAGTAAATGCTCAGCAGTACCTTGTGTGAAACAGTGTGTTAAGCTTTGTAGGAGATATAAAAATAAACTCTATTTGACATATCTAAATTTAAATTACATATAAAATCTGTATATACTTATACTTTCTTGTATTGAAATCTCTATTTCTTTGTAGTCGCCACCTCAGACACTCTCAGCTTCCTTCTACCCATGGAAAACGTGCTATCCAATATACAAATATTAAAATATATGGTCACATAAATATTATTAACATCAATTTAACAGTATTTTGAATAGTTTTACCCAACTAGTTCCATTATCAAACAATTGAGAAATATAATCTTTAATTTGTAAAAGTAATTTTGAATATTTTCTCATAATTTCTGAATAGGAAAGCCATTTGAAATGTAGCCAACTGGAGTTCATTAAAAATTAAAAATGAAAAGCATCTTGGTTAAAGCTGGCTTTTTGAATTAAAACCATATGGGAGCTCTGAACAGTGCAACTTTTGGCACTGTCAAGATTTCTTGTGATGAAACTGGCACCTGTTTTCATGGAAGTATTTTGCCACCTATGCATTTGGACATTATCAGCTTCAGCCTTAATAACAGTCTCCAGATGATTATTAAATTATGTAGGTAAGGAACTTCAAGTTGTTAAATATTCCTTTTTAAAATGTATTTGTCTTAGGATGGCAGACATAGTACAGTGTAATTGCCTGGGAAAACAGAAATCACCAAATATTGGACTAGTACCACCCCCACTAAGATCAGAATCTTAAGAGACAACAGTAAAACTTTGGTGATTTCCATGCTCCAAGATGAAAAACAAAGAAGATAGTCTTATACTGTAAATGATAGTGGGGATTTTTCTCCCTTATATTAGAACTCAACTGATCAAAATAAAGCTGGAATTTACAGTACTCTATGGTCAAAATAAAATGTATGCCTTGAACTACAAACACAAGTTGAATGCAATAGGAATTATAGAGTAGAATACTTGATGAATCCCAGTTTTATGTTACTCACAATCAAATTCTGTGTGCAAGTCTTAATTTTATCTTGAATAATTTAGGAGCCATCTGCATGAGAATGCCTGTGTATTCCCCTTTCTTCTATTCTCTGATACTCTGGGTTTTGGTATGTTTTTCTAGTTAAGCCTTGTCAGCATAAAGTAAACAATTTATTAGTTTTAGTAAAGATGTGATGGTAGAAGAATAAACAGCATAAAACACTTTATGAAAGGAATGTTTTCAAAGTATACTGCTATATGAAGACTTTTCTTCAGTGCCTGTTTATAAATCATCCATGAAAAAGTACACTACTGCCCCCTCCTTACCCACAGGTCATGAAGACCCCAAGTAGGTGCCTGTAACAGGAGATAGATAGTACTGAACCTGTGCATACATTGTTTTCCCTATACATCTATACATACATACATATCTACGATAAAGTTTAATTTATAAATTCTAGCACAGTAATGAATTAACCACCATTATTAATAATAAAATATAAGAATATATTCTAATAATAACAATATATTCTAATATGTGAATGTGGTATCTCTCTCTCTTTCTCTCTCTCAAAATCTCTTATTGTACTGTGCCCACTCTTCTTCTTGTGATGTCGCCATAAAATAAAATACCTACATGATGAGATGAAGTGAAATGAATGATGTAGGCATTGTGATGTAGCTTTAGGTCCTACTGACATTCTGAGAAGTCAGAAGGAGGGTCATCTGCTTCCAGACTGTGGCTGACCATGGGTAACGGAAAGTACGGAAAGCAAAACCAGATAAGGGAGGACTCCTGTATAAACAGTCCAGAGTACTGGAGCTAAAAGGGAATGCAGGAAATACCCAGACAGAAGAAGAGTATCTTGTTCACCTTTTGCCAGGTCCCACAGACTATACCAAGGAACTGCCTCTATAGACACACAGAAGTCTTTCCTCTGTATAACCCCTGATCCTTCTTTGTCCCTCTTCATACAAAGACATTGCAAGATGTGTTTGCTGTCTATTTTGAGAATATTCACATCTCCTATAGAAGACAGGAAAAGCAAATGGAATCAATAAAACTCGAGAAACATTAAACATAGTAAGTATAAGAGTAGCTTGTGAGACACAAGAAAAACTCATATGTTAAGCATAGACACTAAGTTGATAACACGTGAAATTTGGTAGACATAAATAAAAAAAGGCCACTAGTGACAAACATGGGTAGAGATGGAAAGATCAAAGACATCAAATACTGGTGTGGCACATGAGATACCAAATCTTAATGTTCTACTAATGTTTTACATATGTCCATAAGATTTTTAATTACCCTCCATCTCTTGGTGACACCAATTCTGGCTCATGTGTCTTCTGCCTGAGAACATGCAGATAAGAGTCTACAACTGCTTAGGCAAGCCACTGGACAAGCTATAGCTGTGGTCAGAGATATTTGTCCCTGTGTCTCCCATACACAAGCATTTACTGACTTCAAGAACTTTCCATTTGCTGAGTTCCTTGCTCAGTCCCAATACTGGTCCTTTTAATCACACTAACAGTGGGAAAGCTGACAAGGTAGAGAGAAGGATAAGACAGAAGGATAAGATAGAAATCACATCTTGTGGTCCTTCTAACCCTCTACCCCTTCCTATGTTAACCTATCCCATCTTTTTTCCCTGCTTCTTATTCTTTGCTTTATGTTGATTCAATAAATGATGAGCTTTGATAATTTTAGTTTAGTCTCTAAGTATTTCTGTTCTGTGGCCTTTAGGAAAGCTTCTCTGATTGTATACACGTAGACTTCTATTAAATCAAAGCAATTTTCCAAGTGACACCCCATTCCCAATCACCTCCAAGTTTGACTCTCAACTTTGCTGTACTGGCAGGTATTCAAGGATATCAGAAGTCTCTCAATGCTTTTGAGCTCCCCAGACTTAAAACCTTTTGCTGTCTTCTACACCTAAACAAGTGCCTCCCTATACTTGAGACATCTGTGAGTAGATTAATTTTCATTACATAAACTCTCATTTTTGTCTGACCTTCAGGTTGTCATTTTTCTCTTTTATTTCATCAGGAATAATTTCTCTAGGCTATTACTTGAAAATTTTGTATTGTAATTGAGAGTGTTCCTCCACCTCCTGTCCCAGTCACCCAGTTCTCTCTTCCACAGACATCAGATATTTTCAGCTTTTTTAGTAGGAGAAAGTAGACAAAATAGATTGACTCAAGTCACTCAGCCAAATTTAATTTTTACACTGCACAAGTCTGGTGAGGACAAAAGGAAATAACCAATTTCCATTGAAAAATATTTAATATATTATTAAGAATAAAGTAATTATAAAAATAGTTAAAAGTTGTTTGGAACTCTGAATTAGGTAATTTTCAAACTATGTTTTGTTGATAATCACTGAAACTCCTTGAGAAGTAAATATCATACTAGATGTGTGGCCACTGACAAGTTCCTCAACCCCTCTGTGCCTTAGTTTCCTCATCTCATAAAAATAAAAAATAACAAAAGTGCCTATCTCATAGGGTTGTTGTAAAGTATTAAAACAACAAACACGTGAAAAGTGCTTGGAATAAATCCCTACCTAGCACTTAACCATTTCAATCTCTTATATTGTAAATTGTGCATATCTTTTTATTTATTTCTGTCATGTTCATCTTTAGAAAAGAATAAATAGCACTGTACATATTCACTATTTATAAAAAATGTAGACCAGTTTTAAAGACAATAATACTTAGTATTAGACTTCATTGAACTCTTGTTATATTTCAGGCATTCTACAAAGTACTTTATCTAGATAATCTCTTTTAATGCTCAAAACAACCTTATGTTGTTGTGATACATTATTATGATATATTTGATATACTATTATCTCCTTTTAGCAGATAAGAACATAGAGACTTATCATGATTAATTAGTTTGCCCAAGGTCACACAGTTAACAAATATAGCCAAGACTTACACTAGTGAGTTTATACATTTGTCTCTCTGGATTCCACAGTGTTATTAATATTGGATTTTAGCACCCTGTGCCAAACTTCTTAAAATATGTCCCCACTCTATAATTTGCCTCTTAGTTTCATTTATATAACTTGCAACACAGAAATATTTCATTTTTATGTAGTAATATCTAACAATGTTTTACAGTTTCCTTCACTGTTTTTATGGTTAGAAAAGTCATTCCCCACCCCCAAGATAACATAGTCTGCAGTGCTTTCTAGTTGTTTTAGAGTATTTCTTTATTTACATATTTAACTTATTGATGAACTTGGTATTTCTTTTTTTTGTTTTAAGTTTATTTATTTATTCTGAGAGAGCATATGCACACACAAATGTACACAGGAGCAGAGGAAGAGCAGAGAGAGGGTGAGAGAGAACCCCAAGCTAGCTCTGGACTATCAGTGCCACTATTTTTGTTTTTATTATTAGGTTAGGAATAACTTGTTTTTATCTCCATTAAATTAACTAATTGTCCTTTCTATTACAATATGTGAATTCATCATAATCACACAAATTGAAGATGTATTTTTTTGCTTATAAATTTAAATTACAGCAATTTAAAAACATACTCTACTATGATAATGTTATTAAAGCATCATTTTTGTACAGAAAATTTTATATCTGCACTTTAAATTAAAAATCTCTCAAGAATATGTTAATTCCAAGGAGCTCCTGGGTAGCTCAGTTGGCTGAGCATCTGATTCTTGATTTTGTATCAAGTCATGATCTTGAGGTTTGTGATTATCAAGCCCTGTATAAGGTTCGCAATAACTACATGAACCCAGCTTGGGATTCTCTCTATCCCTCTCACTCTGCCCTTCTACCCCCAAATAAACAAACAAACAAACATTAAAAAAGAATATGCTAATTCCCAAAAAAGGTAAGAAAAATAATAAACCATCCATGTCCCTGTGTTATGCAATATGATGGTGGCACCTACAGCATAGTACTATGTATTCTAGAAAAATATACCTTTGGTCTGTGCAGCTCTGGTCTGTGAGGCTCTATAAGAAGCTGTAACCTTAGCTGATGGGACAATGTGGACTCCTGCAGAAGCTGCCTCCTCCATCTCTGAAGATTCAAGTAGACATAGTTTATTTGGTAGGTGATCTGAAAAAATAAACACTGATAGGGAAATGGGGAAGAGAAAAAGAAATGGTAAATGACCAATAAAGAATGTCCTGTCAAACTCTTTACCACTGTGGGCAAGTGGAATTAAGTCCGAATCAGTGTAGACCTCATTCCTCTAAGGTGTCCACACTAGGGAGGAGAGAACTGGAGGTTTTAGGCAGCAACTCCAGTCAGTCTACAGTTGAAAGGTACTAGCTGTGGGGCTAATTCTCTAGCATTTCCAGAACCCTCAGGAGGCAGGCCTGGCTTCAGCAGCCAGAGGAGGGGCACAGGTTTGGGTGGGGGTATTGCAATAGGGAGGCCCAGAGGATTAGGATGGAGACTGATGACTTCTAGTTGGTAAATAAATGCTTTTAGTCAGGGTTCATCTTGAATAAGTTGCTGAATTAAGGGAACTCTTGGGGCATGTGTGTGGCTCAGTTGGTTAAGCATCTGATTTCCCTCAGGTCATGATCTCACAATTCATGGATTCAAGCCCCACATCAGGCTCTGCTTTGGTTTCGGTGTCCTCCCTCTCTCTCTGCCCCTCTCCTACTCAGGCTCTGTATTTCTCTCTCTCTCAAAAATAAATAAACATTAAAAGAAATTAAGAAAAGGGGAAATATTCAGGCATGACTCCTTTTTGATCACTGTGAATAAATTGTGAATAGTTATTGGGATTTCTATCCATCTATCTATTCTGATCTTTTACTGCAATGTTTTAATCACAATAGTTATGTATTTCAAAGAAAATCCCTCCTTTTAATATTTTACATCAGAACATTTTTAGCTAATCTCATTGGTCCAAATGAAATATAGAATTTTGCATCAAGTCCCATATCCACCCAAGAAAAATAAATCCTATTAGTAATTATATTATGATTTCAAAAAATAATTTAGTAAAACTGACCTCTTTATAAAGACAACGTGATATATATACATGTATATGTATGCATATCATTTACATATATATGTACACATATACACATGTATGTGTGTGTATATATGCACACACACACATGCATACATGCACACAATGGAATATTAGTCAGCCATTAAAAAGAATGAAAATTTGGCATTTGGGACAATGTGGATGGACCTAGAGGGTATTATGTTAAGTGAAATAAGTCAGACAGAGAAAGGGAAATATCATACGATTTTACTTACAAGTGAAATCTAAAAAACAAAACAAATAAAACAAACAGAACAAAATAGAAACAGACTAATAAGTACAAGGAACAAACCAGTGGTTGCCAGAGAAGAGAGGAGCATCGGGAAAGGTAAAGTAGATGAGGGAAATTAAGAGGCACAAACTTCTAGTTATATAGTAAATAAGTCACAGGGGTGATAAACATAGCACAGGGAATATAGTCAATAGGATAATAATAACTTTGTATAATAACAGATGGTAATGATACTTATTAGGGTAAACATTTCCTAATGTATATAATTGTTGAATCACTAGATTCTGGATTTCAGTTCAGGTCATGACCTCATGGTTTATGGGTTTGAGTCTCACATTAGGCTCTGCACTGACAACAGAGAGCCTGCTTGGTATTCTCTCTCTCTCTGCTCCTCCCCAACTCTCTCCCTCTCCCTCTCTCTCTCTCTCAAAATAAATAAAATAAACTTGAAAAATTTTTTTAAATTGACCTCTTTAGAAACAAAAACAGTATTCCTATATAAAACTATAAATTCAACTCTTCGTTTACATTTTTCAATACATTATTATAGTTTTATTCATAAGCTACACAAATGTTTTAGAGAGTTATTCCTTGATATGTTATAAGGCTTTCTTTTTGGTTATTCAATAAAGAATATCCCATATTCTTTCTTCATTATATATTTTAGATAGATGTAAGTTTCATATAAGAAAGTTACTGACTTTTATATATTTCTCTTATTATATGCCATCTATTTTTCTTAATTCTAAGCACTTTTCATAATTTTCTTGTGTGAGTTAGGTTATACCTAAATTATCTGCAAAAATTATCATGATCTCTTAAGACTTCATAAAATTCTATCATTAAACACTTGTTCCTTTGAACCGAAGCATCATCTCGAAGGTGCAATATCCTTCTAAGAGACTAAGAACATACTTGGCTGTTAGCAATTAATCTATCAGTGTTAATTCACTAATCAGATCCTGTATACTTAATTGAGATAATGTTATTAACAGAGAAAAAGAGAACTTACTGGTAGAAAGAAAAGGCTTGGGATTGTTTCTAGACCTGGGGAGGTAGGGGAGGTAGGGGAGGTAGGATACGAACAAAGATATTAATCCTGGCTGGTGAAATACGAAAGAAGGCTGCTCTGTCTTCAGCAATGATGCTTAGAGAAGGCCTGATCTCCAGTGGCCTTCCCACTTATCAGCCTGGCCCTTTTCCAGGTCTCATTATAGCTACTGCTTCCACTCTACTTGATGACAACAAAGAAAAGAGTGAGAAATGCTTTCACAAGAAGTTTGGCTCAATACCCACACATTTTCTGAATTGTCTAGGGCTGCATGCTTGGGATATGAGCAGTAGAATATTCTGGACTTGATTATTAAACGGATGGATTATGAAATATTTTGCTAAGTTTCCAGAAGTATGTTACCATCCACACAAAAATAAAGAACTTTATTACCTTTTACTCTAGGATTCTAAGATATTAATGATTTTTTTTTCAAAAAATACCATAATTTAATATTTTAAGGAGACAACCTTGGGTAAAATCTTAAAAGCATTTTAAATATGCTAAAAAGGAAGAAAGTCTCTATCTGCAAATTCTAAATTTCTCTCTCCACAAGCACCATATGATTGAAAATTCTAGGGAAGAAAGAAAAGGAGGCTGGGGAGGAGGGAAGAAAAACAAGTGGAAGAAACTTTTATGCAGCTAGAAATTCAAGCAATTTATCCAATGAAAGAATCAGATCAAACTGTCATTTCTGCATTTTATTTTTTTTTAATTAGTAGGCCTTTCTACAAACCGTCTTCCTGAATATTTTTGAGAAAATTATTTTGGGGGTTCTCCAGATGGAAGTACCTTTCTGAAAATTAGAAAACCCTAAGAAAATTACCGTTAGAAAATATAAAACCTTTGGATGTGAAATGACTGATTTTCAAAACTTGTTTTTAGATCCAATGAGCTAAGACTTTACAAAATTACCTAGGAATAGCTTTCCTTATTATACCTCTGGTAAATAGAATAAGATTAATATAGTCCAATGGTTTGGAAATTATTAAGTAGAAAATGAAAAATCCTTAAATGTGAAGCTAGAAGCACATATTTGTTCATCAGAACCAAGTGAATACCATCTGTTCTTTTCTTATCCAGCAATGTCAAACCCTTAAAATATCATCTTTTATAGGATGGGGTTATTAGAAAAAATAAATTAATTGGCATTGCACAAATATTTAATTAAAATATTTAAATACAAAATTCAGCGAATAAATATCATTAAGTCTTATTCATAAGTTTGAATATATTAGCTTTTGAGTAATTTTCCTTGAACTGTGGTTCTTTATTTTGTTTTTAACTTTTTATTAAAGTAGCTTCTACACCCACCGTGGGGCTCAAACTCACAACCCTGAGATCAAGAGTCACATGCTCTTCCAACTAAGTCAGCCAGGCATCCTGAACCATGATTTTTATGAAAAATGTTAACTAACACAAAATACATCAGAATTTTAATCTTGACTTGCTTTGAAAAAGTCAGATTAGGGGCACCTGGGTAGCTCAGTCAGTTAAGGGTCTGACTTTGGCTGAAGTCTTGATCTCATGACTCATGAGTTCAAGCCATGCATCGGGCTCTGTGTTGGCAGCTCAGAGCCTAGACCCTGCTTCAGGTTCTATGTCTCCCACTCTCTCATAGCCCCCTCCCGATCTTTCTCTCTCTCTCTCTCTCAAAACATATATAAACCTAAAAAAGATTGTAAGTCAGATTAGCTTACAAAATAAGGCGTATTGTAAATAAAAATGAAAGCCTTTTGTATATTTTAACAAAACATTGCCATATTCTCTTTCACATAAAATCATCTGACACCTTCAATATTTTGGGCTGCCCCAGTAATTCATGTTACTTTTTGCATAGTGAAAATGGACATTGGATAGTTAAAATTTACAGAGCTCTTAAAAATGCTTTCTGCTACCATTAAGTACAATAAATACCTGGCAATACCTTCACCTTGTAGCTGGTCTCATTAAGCACAAATAGCATTTGTACTGCAGAAGTGATATAATAGCAATTACACAAATAATCCCAAAATTCATTTTTATCTTCTTGCCTTTATAATTACTCTTCTATAATATTTTGGTTCCCTTTTGTTTAATAATGAATTTGTCTGGTATTCTCTAAGCCCTTGGAATTTCCAGAGTGATAAATGTGTCTTTGCTAGGAACCACACTTGATTTTATACTAACTTGGTGACTGAAATAAGACGAACACCATAGGCCCTTTGAAGATTTATGCTAACAATATAATTCAGGATGGTGGCTAGCCATGCCTAAAAGACCAAGAACATGGTTAGACAGTTAGGGCTTTGAGCAAGATGGGAACAGCTCAACTTCTGAGGAGGAGAGGACTGGAGATTGAGTTTAATTACATGGACAATGCATCAATCATGCCCACATAACAAAACCCCATGGAAAACTCTGGACATTGAAACTAGGATAAACTCCCAGATTAACAACACATATACCATCATACACTGATGTGCTGGGAAGGTAATCCATCCTGATTCTATGGGGAGGGGACAACCGAAGCTTTGTGTTTGGAACCCTCCAGACCTCGCCCGTGTGTCTCTCCCTTTGACTGGATGTGATTTGTATCTTTGGCTATATTAAAACTATAATCGGGGCGCCTGGGTGGCTTAGTCGGTTAAGCGTCCGACTTTCGCTTAGGTCATGATCTCGCGGTTTGTGGGTTCGAGCCCCGCGTCGGGCTCTGTGCTGACTGCCAGCTCAGAGCCTGGAGCCAATTTCAGAGTCTGTATCTCCCCCTCTCTCTCTGACCCTCCCCTGCTCACGCTGTCTCTCTCTCTCCTAGAAATAAATAAAAAAATTAAAAAAAAAACTATAATCATGAGTCATTTTCCTGAGTTCTGTGAGTCATCATAGCCAATTATCACACCTGATGAGGTAATGGGACTTCCTAAATTGGTAGCTAACTGGTCAGAATTGAGGGTGGCTGAGGGACTCCTGGCAGTTGATTCTGAAATGAGGTCAGTCTTCTGGATGCCTGTGCTCCTAATCTCTGAAGTCAGGCCTAGTTGGGGTCAGAATCTACTGCATTCCTTCTTTTAACTGAAGTCACACCACATCCTAATGACATTCTTCTAAGTTTTTCTAATCTTTTCTTTTTTGCTTTCCATCCTCTATTACTGAGTCCACTTAGTGATTTTATAGCCAAACTGTAAGACTGAGATGGTGGTGTTTTAAGTATAAATAGGTTAAGGAGATCACAACTTTTACTGTCACTTTTTTCCTGTTATCTTCCTGGGGGGTGGGATGATGTCCTTACATCAGAATTCATTTCTTCAAGCCATGTTTCTGAACATCATTTTAACTTTGCTAAGTAACTATCTTAATCTCCCAAAAGTTTATTTCTTTTTCATAACTCCTTGACTTCTAAGAGAAGCCACATTTATTAGGATGATTATCAGAATAAACTATTAGGCAACTGATAGATGGGAAAAGACAGTTGCAAATGACATATCAGATAAAGGGCTAGTATCCAAAATCTATAAGGAACTCACCAAACTCCACACCTGAAAAACTAATAATTCAGTGAAGAAATGGGCAGAAGACATGAACAGACAGTTCTCTAAAGAGGACATCCAGATGGCCAACAGACACAGGAAATGATGCTCAGCGTTCCTCCTCATCAGGGAAATACAAATCAAAACCACACTGATATACATCCTCATGCCAGTCAGAGTAGCTAAAATGAACAAATTAGGAGACTCTAGATGCTGGCGAGGATGTGGAGAAACAGGCACCCTCCTACACTGTTGGTGGGAATATAAATTGGTGCAGCCCCTATGGAACACAGTGTGGAGGTTCCTCAGAAAATTAACAATAGAACTCCCCTATGACCCAGCAGTAGCACTGCTAGGAGTTTACCCAAGGAATACAGGAGTGCTGATGCATAGGAGCACATGTACCCTAATGTTCACAGCAGCACTCTCAACAATAGCCAAATCATAGAAAGAGCCTAAGTGTCCATCAACTGATGAATGGATAAAGAAGATGTGGTATATTTATACAATGGAATACTACATGGCAATGAGGAAGAATGAAATCTGCCCATGTGTAGCAACATGGATGGACCTTGAGGATGTTATGCTTAGCGAAATAAGTCAGGCAGAGGACAGCTACCATATGTTTGCACATAGAGGTGGATTAGGAGGAACTTAACGGAGGACCATGAGGGAGAAGAAGGGGAAAAATAGTTGGGGAGAGGGAGGGAGGCAATCTTGAATGCTGAGAACAAACTGAGGGCTGACGGGGGTGGGGGATAGGGGAAGGAGATTGATGGGGCATGGGGGAGGGCACTGGTAGGGATGAGCACTGGGTGTTATATGGAAACCAACTTGACAATAGACTATTTAAGGGAAAAAATAAAATAAAATTGCAAACAAAAAAAAACAGAATAAACTGATTTGAAAAGCAGATTTTTCTTATGACTTAGCACTCTTTTGCTAACTTATTACATCAGTTCTATTTTAAAGGAAGAATCATTCTTTAGCTGCCTGACAGTTTTCACTATATTTTTAGTTACATTTTCTATTACTTTTATAAGCAGATCTCAATTGGAATTCACAATATAGTATAAACTAACAAGTTAGCAAATAGTCCAACAAACCTTGAGAATTTACTCCATCTCATTCGTCTGCTAGGACACTCAGATATTACCAAGGTTAGTAATCAAGTTACAATGGTCTCTGAGATCTATATTAAACATCATATATAGACTCCTGACTGTATGAAGTAATTTGCCCTTAATGGGAAATGCCTTAGATTCAATGTTCCTTAGGTTATGTAAAGTGTTTCTTTATCAAGGGATGCAGTGTTCTCAAGGAGGACCTTGAAGATAAAAAAGAGAGCCTTGCATTTCCCCTGCTGTTATCAAGGAAGCTCATGTTTCTGATTTTGTTTTTTGAGATAAGTTTCAAATAAGTAAATAAGATCAGAAAAATTTATTTGGAAATAGGATCAGAAAAGGTAAATGTCTTTGATATGGGTACAAGGAGTAGTCTTTCAGGAATGTTAGCAAAGCACCACAGTTTACTCACCCAAGCCAAAACACAAGGCCAAAACTTTGCTTTCTACTCTCTAAAAACAATGAACCTATGAGATTCAAGTAAATGAATTGAATGACTCTATCAGGAAGTGTTTCTGTTATTTAATTCTCATGCTATTTCTGTGTTTGGTAACTTTGGTTACAAAAGTTAGAAAAATGAGGAACTGAGAAGCAGAGTCATACCCACTTTATAGGAGAGATTTAACACTGCACGTTGTTTAATCTCCCAGGAGATAAATGGCTGGGAGTTGTGCAGAATCAAGACATCATGATAAAGGTTATTTAAGGACAACTGTCTAAAAGGAGAAAACTGCAGAAGGTTGACTGAACCAGGGACTATTTAATGACTGACTTCCCTCCCCATTTTGTTTTCTTCCAGTTTGCTTCTTAGGCAGAAACTAAATTTTAAGGAAAAGGCAAGTATATTCACACCTCCTTTTTCCTTCCAGCTAATTTTTACTTCAAATGGTTATAACTGTATCCTAATGGAAGAACACTGACAGGAAAACAATCAAGATGTCCAATATTTGGGCATATCTATCTCCACTTAGTTCAAGAAATTCAACTTGTCCCAGGTAAACCTAAATCTCTGTGCTTAGTGTTTACTTTATCTCCTCAAAAGACTATTATTCCTATATATTTGGTTTGTTATTCATTGAAATCCTGCCTTATTCGCCACTTTAAAGTTGGGACACTTTAGGGTCATCTGGGTGTTTCAGTTGGTTAGCATCCAACTCTTGATTTAGACTCCGGTCACAATTTTGTTGTTAATGGAATTAAGCCCCAGGTAGGCTCTGTGCTGATAGCCCAGAGCCAGCTTGGGATTCTCTCTCCCTCTCTCTCTCTGCCCTTCCCCTGCTCACTGCACAGATACACACATGCCTTCTCTTTCTCTCTCTATCTCTCTCTCTCTCAAAATAAATAACCATTTAAAAAATACATAAAATAGGAAACTTTAAAATCAGAGTAGCATATAATAAAAATAATTATATAATATGAATAAAAAGAGACAGTGTACAGACAGGCATGCAAATAGACAACATAGGCCAAATCTGTTAATTTGTAGATTATATAAGAACTTTAACTATTTTAGTTGGGTTTCTGAGTCTCCAAAGGTTAAGTAAAATCACTCAGTTCTCCTTGTGGAGAAAGAGAAGGTCATGAGTTAGGTTTCTAGAAAGGAGACTTCTAGGAAGATTCATATTCAGGAAGTTTATTGGGGAGGGCTCTTGAGATTAGCACTTGGTATTAAGGAAAATCCAATGGGAAGAGAGGGTAGTTGAACTATGAAGCCATCAAACAAAGTTTCCCCTTTGAGGAGAACTGAAACTGAGGCAGCTCTGCAGAGTTGTTCCAGTTGGATAATATAGCACTTATACCTCTCAGCCCCTGGGAGGTAGAGTAATGTTGGGACAGGTGGCTCTCTTCAGCAGAGGTCATTTGAGGGTGAATGGGAAAGGCCTTAGCTGCAAGTCATCAGCTGTCAATTCTCCCAGGAGCTTTATTATGTGTGCTGCAATCCTGAAGGTCATGCATTTAAGCTGCATCCCTACTGTTCACTTATAAAAGAAAGAAAACAGATTACTTACTCTCTCTGGGAAAGCAAAGTTATTCCAAAAACAGGATGAAAAATAAATTATTTTCATATTTGGTTTATAAAAAACTGAGTAATAGGATGGAAAAAAATCCTCACCAATGGCCCTATAGGAAATAGAGTTAACAGATTTCATGGAGCTTTTTTCAACAGTATCCTTGATAAGAAGTTAATATTAATACACCTCTCCATGAGAATGATTCTGTAAGGGGTTATCACAAACAACCTGGGACCCAGTTTCCTTGTAGTCCAATTTCCCTCATTCATCCATTCCCTTATTCTACAAATATATACTGAATGCCTACTGTGTGCCAGGCATTATGCTAGGCATAAGTATTTATTATGACAAGGGTTTCTGGGTGGCTCAGTCAGCTAAGTATCTGACTCTTGGTTTAAGCTCAGGTCATGATCTTACAGTTCATGAGTTTGAGCCCTGCATCGGGCTCTGTGCTAACAGTGTGGAGCCTGCTTGGGATTCTCTCTCCCTCTCCCTCTGCCCCTCCCTCACTCATTCTCTCTCTGCCTCAAAATAAACTTTAAAAAAAAAAAAAGGAAAAATTATGACATGACAGGACAGACCTCACAGAAATTGCATATTTTAATCAAAGAATCACATAAACAAAGGCAAAATCACACTTTTGATCATTGCACATCAGAAGCTCACTCTTAATAGTAAAATTGACCTCATTATAGAGGTAAGAGGTGCTTCTTGAGGAGCAATTATTTTTCTGAGAGCCGAAGGGAGAGTAGGAGCTGGCCAACTGAAGGAGACAGGAGCAACGGAACTGGTGTTAAAAGGGACCATCTGAAGCCAAGAAGGCCAGTGTGGCTAGAGTTAGGCAAAACTTGGAAGATGAGGCCATAGTGTTAAGGATAGCCAGCCCAGGCAAGGCCTTATAGAATACTTTAAGAAACACGGTCTTCATCTTAAGACAAATAGGAAAATTATTCAAGTGTTTTACACAAGACGCTGAGTGAGTAAGTACTGCTGTTGAGATTTACTTGGAGGATGTATGAGTTCTCTAGGGCTGAAATAACAAATTACTACAAATTTAGTAACTTAAACCAGGCAAATTTATTATCTTAAAGTCCTGTTGTTCTGAAGTCTATATTGGGTCTCACTGCGGTAAAAACAATTGCTCACAGTTGCTGATGAGGGTACATTCCTTTCTGAATGTATCTAGGAAACAGACAGAATCTGTTTCCTTGCCTTTTCCAGCCTAGAAGCCTGTAGAAAAGCTACCCACTCTCTTTGGCTCATGGCCCCCTTCCATCTTCAAAGCTATCAAAACAAGTCTTTCTCAAATCACAACCTTCTGGGGTGCCTGGGTGGCTCAGTTGGTTAAAGCATCCAGCTTCGGCTCAGGTCATGATCTCACGGTTCGTGGGTTCGAGCCCCACATCAGGCTCTGTACTGACAGCTAGCACAGAGCCTGGAGCCTGCTTCTGATTCTGTGTCTCTCCCTCTCTGACCCTCCCCTGCTCATGCTGTCTCTCTCTCTCTCTCTGAGAAATAAATAAAAAAACATTAAATAATAATCACAACCCTCTGATACTGACTCTTGTGTAACCCTCTTCCACACTTAAAGATCTTTTGATTAAAGTGGGCCCACCCCGATCATCCAGGATCCTTGAGTCTCCTTTATCTCAAGGTCAGCTAACGAGCCACCATAATTCCTTTTTTATTTTTATTTTTTTGCATTCCCCCCCCCCCCCCCGACCAAGATTGTATTTAAATTCAAGTTAGTTAACATATAGTGTAGATTCATTTCAGGAATTGAGTTTAGTAGTGACTCATCATTTACATATAACATAATAATTGCCCTCCTTAAGGTCCATCACCAACTTAGCTCATTCCCCTCCACCGGCTTCTCCTTTAGCAACCCACAGTTTGTTCTCTGTATTTTTTTTAAATTTGCATGTTTTAATACATCTAGCAATTTTATTTTTACTTTTTTAAATATAATTTATTGTCAAACTGGTTAACATACAGTGTGTACAGTGTGCTCTTGGTTTTGGGGGAGGATTTCCGTGGTTCATCTCTTACATAAAACATCCAGTGCTCAACCTAACAAGTGCCCTCCTCAATTCCAATCACACATTTTCCCCTCTCCCCTACCACCCCATCAACCCTCATTTTGTGCTCTGTATTTAAAAGTCTCATGGTTTGCCTCCTTCCCTCTCTGTTTTTAACTATTTTTCCCCTTTCCTTACCCATGGTCTTCTGTTAAGTTTCTCAATATCCATATGAGTGAAAACATATATCTTTCTTTCTCTGACTGACTTATTTCACTCAGCATTAATACCTTCTAGTTTCATCCATGTTGCTGCAAATGGCATGATTTCATTCTTTCTCACTGTCAAGTAGTATTCCATTGTATGTATAAACCACATCTTCTTTAGCAATTTATCAGTTGAACATTTAGACTCTTTCCATAATTGGGCTGAAAGTGCTGCCTTAAAAATTGGGATACAGGTGCCCCTATGAATCAGCACTCTGGTATTCTTTGGATAAATTCCTAGTAGTGCTACTGCTGGGTCATTGGGTAGTTTTATTTTTAGTTTTCTGAGGAACCTCCACACTTTTCCAGAGCGGCTATACCAGTTTGCATTCCCACCAACAGTGCAAGAGGATTCCTGTTTCTCCACATTCTCGCCAGCATCTGTTGCTTCCTGAGTTGTTAATTTTAGCCATTCTGATCCCTGTGAGATGGTATCTCAATGTGGTTTCGATTTATATTTCCCTGATGATGAGTGACGTTGAGCATCTTTTCATGTGTCTGTTCTCTAGTTGTCTTTGGAAAAGTGCCTATGCATGTCTTCTGCCCATTTTTTCCACTAGATTATTTATATTTTGGATGTTGAGTTTAGTAAGTTCTTTATAGATTTTGGTACTAACCCTCTATCCGATATGACATTTGCAAATATCTTTTCCCATTCTGTCAGTTGTCTTTTACTTTTGTTGATTGTTTCCTTTGCAGTGCAGAAGATTTTTTTATCTCAATGAGGTCCCAATAGTTCATTTTTGCTTTTAATTCCCTTACCTTTGAAGATGTGTTGAGCAAGAGACTGCTGCACCTGAGGTCATAGAGGTTGTTGCCTGCTTTCTCCTCTAGGGTTTTGATGGTTTCCTTTCTCACATTTGGGTCTTTCATCCATTTTGAGTTCATTTTTGTTTATAGCATAAGGAAGTGGTCTAGTTTCATTCTTCTGCATGTTGCTGTCCAATTCTCCCAGCATCATTTGCTAAAGTGATTTTCTCCCCACAGGATACTCTTTCTTGCTTTGTCCAAGATTAGTTGGTCATACATTTGTGGGTCCAATTCTGGGTTCTCTCTTCAATTCCATTCGTCTATGTGTCTGTTTTTTGCCAATACCATTCTGTCCTAATGATTACAGCTCTGAAGTAGAGGCCTCCTGCTCTGGTTTTCTTCTTAAATACTACTTTGGCTGTTCAGAGTCTTTTGTGATTCCATACAAATTTTAGGATTGTTTGTTCTAGCTTTGAGAAGAATTCAGGTGCAATTTTGATTGAGATTACATTGAATGTGTAGATTGCTTTGGATAGTATTGACATTTTAACTATATTTATTTCTCCAATCCATGAGCATGGAATGTTTTTCCATTTCTTTGTGTCTTCTTCAATTTCCTTCATAAGTTTTCCATAGTTTTCAGCATACAGGTCTTTTACATCTTTGGTTAGGTTTATTCCTAGGTATTTCATGGTTCTTGCTGCAATTGTAAGACAACAATCATGTCGTCTGCAAAAAGTGAAAGTTTGACTTCTTTGCCAATTTTGATGCCTTTTATTTCATTTTGTTGTCTGATTGCTGATGCTAGGACTTCCACCACTATGTTCAACAACAGTGGTGAGAGTGAACATCCTGACCTGATCTCAGGGGAAAAGCTCTCAGTTTTTCCCCACTGAGGATGATATTAGCTGTGGGATTTTCATATATTGCTTTTATGTTGTTTAGGTAT